GGATTCCATGGCGACGGCGCATGTGGAATGGCTAAAAAGGCTTAAACGTGTGACCGTTTGCACTTTAACAGTCAATAAACAGTGCCGTTAGCTTAAATTGGATGGAGGGACGACATTGGTATGCTTTTGAATTGTAGAGGGAGGATATCTGAAGTTAATTAATAGTAAAAGGAGGACATGAGGCAAATAGATAGTATATGGTTAAAATTGCACTATTTTTGATAGTAGAGGGACGATAAATGGCATTAACCCGCAGAACTGCTGACTCGGATATAGAAAGAAAGGGACAGAATCAAAAAGGGGAAAGAGGAAGATCTTTTAAGGCCACAAAGGAACTTGTGGCTGAAAATTTCTCCTTTACGCTGATGTGGCGGACCAACCCGGTTAAACGGATCAAAAACGAGAAAAACTCCAACATCGTCAGAACGAGAACAAAATTCATGTCTGTCTGTCTGTCAGATCTCTCCATACCTTTTGTTTCTCTCAGTTCAACTTTCTCTCTCTAGAAAGGTTCAGTTTCTGTTTTTTTTTTTTTTTTAATCTATCAGAAAATAGTGACAGAGAATACGGAGCAGAACACAAATGTCGGAGCCAAAAGACCCGGCGATCAAGCTTTTTGGTAAGACGATTCCTTTGCCTGAGGCATCTCAAGAAGCTGCTGCTGCTTCTGTTACTTCTGGTGATGATAATCTTGATCAGGATGAGGATCGAGTTTGCTCCACGAGCTCTTCACCAGAGGATGATAAGAGCAGGGATGGAGGGGAAGAGAAAGAAGATGAAAAGGTATCAATTTGGGGTTTTGTTTTATGGGTTTTTGATGGATTCCAATTATTAGAATAAGGGAATAGTTAGTGGGTCAATCTTTGTTTGGTGTGGTTTTATGCGTTTTGTTCAGTGGTTACTGCTGGGGAGTTTCATTTCTAAGGAGATTTTGTGAGTTTTGGGGTGTGATTTTGTGGGTTGAATTTGAAAATCATGGTTTTTTAAGGGGCTTTTGGTTTCATGTTGGGTTGTTATAGTGAGCTAATTTTCTCTCCAATTCTCCACTGATTGACTGTTTGTTGTGTTATGAATTGTGATAAAGACTTTTTTTTTTTTGGTTATAAACACAATTGGGTTGTGTTAATCTCTGGGGACTGGTGGTCCTTCTATATATATATATATATATATATATATATATTATCAGCATAGTTAGTCGCTGCTGAATCATATTTAATTTCTGTTTTAAATTCCAGATTCAGTTTCGATGCTGTTTTTAGGATCTTCAATCTTGTTCATGTTTTTACACACTTTTATTCGTCTTGAAAAGGTCATATTTCTGATAGATTTTCTAGAATTGAAACCCCCCTTCGTCCTTTCTCTTTGTTTGTGTCCAACTCTATGTTATGTGGCTTTTTGCAGCTTGTTTCAATGGTTGATTACTTTCTAGGTTGTGAGCAGTGTTTTGTCAAGTCCACTTCTCTGAGTTTTATTGAGAGTTCTTCACCTCCAGTGAATAATCTACTACTATTTTTCATAAATGAAGTTCCAAGCTGAAATTGCTATTTCTGTTATGGCAATTTTCAGTTTTTGCTTTAGTATTTTATGATACTGAGAATTACCTTCTTTTAGATTCAAATTTTCCCTATTTAAGATGAGTCTTTGGTCCTTTGGTAACTTTGTACCTAGTAAGAGTTCAGATGTTATAGTATTTGTTGATTAAAACGTCTAAATCTCATTCCCGAAGAAAATCACCACCAGTTTACTGGTTCTTTGTCCTATCTAATTTTATATGTACCGTGCGCCTTGCCATGATTTCATAGGCAAAAAGAACATTTGACCCTAATATGTATTGCAAGATATCAGGTTATCATTCTGATTGTACTTTATGGTATCTTGACTAGCTTATCATGCATAGGGATGCTCAAGCGGTATGAAGCTTTCTGTTATTGAGTAACTTCTTTGGTCTAATTTGAATTTCTATTGTAGTTTGTAGCCATCAGAATGTTATGGTTATAGTTTGCGTTGAACTGGGTCCTTTCTTGCAAACATGAAAACAGAAAAATATGATGCCAGTATTTAATGTACTTGATGCATACTAGTCCTCTTAAGCTGATTTTTCCATGTAGTATAATATAAATTCAGTTCTTAATTATGTTGTTAACTTCTCATTTCAAATTATGATCAATTCAGGATGTGTTGGGAGATAAAGCTGTTGAGACAAAACTTGAAGTTAGAGGTGGAAAGGAAGATGAAGATTTGGGTAAACAGGAAGATGAAACTACAACAGTTACTTCTGGAGAGTCTGGAAATCCAGAAGCAAACTCAGGAGAAAATGAGAACTCAAAAGCACCCTCTGTTGAGAAGGAGAGCACTGCATCAAAAACTCTAAAGACAGAAGAGGATCAAAGTGAAACAAGTAACTCACAGGAAAAACCCTTGAAGAAACCTGATAAAATTCTTCCATGTCCGCGCTGCAATAGCATGGATACCAAGTTCTGTTACTATAACAATTACAATGTTAACCAACCCAGGCACTTTTGCAAGCACTGCCAGAGATACTGGACAGCTGGTGGAACAATGAGGAATGTCCCTGTGGGTGCTGGACGCCGCAAGAACAAGAACTCAGTTTCTCACTACCGTCAGATAACTGTCTCTGAAGCACTTCAAAATGCTCAAATGGATGTTCCAAATGGAGTACACCACCCTGCACCGAAGGCTAATGGTACAGTTCTCACCTTTGGTTCAGACATGCCCCTTTGTGAATCAATGGCTTCTGTTTTGAACCTTGCAGATAAAACAATGTGGAATCACACACGAAATGGTTTTCATAAACCTGAAGAATTAAAGATTCCAGCTTCTTATCAACGAGGAGAAGCTGGTGAGATTTCAAATGTATCTTCTGTCCCAGCTTCAATTTCAAAGGATGAAGTGGGCAAAGCCCGGTTGCAAGATCAGATGATTCAGCCCTGTCCGGGTTGCCCTCCTCAAGTACCATGTTTTTCTGGGGCTCCTTGGCCTTACACATGGAATTCAACTCAGTGGAACTCTCCAGTACCCCCTCCTGCTTTCTGCACTCCAGCCTTCCCTATGCCTTTCTATCCTGCAGCAGCTTACTGGGGTTGTACTGTGCCAGGTGCTTGGGCTGTACCTTGGCTTCCTCAACCATCTTCACCAAAGCAAACCGTCCCAGGCTCTGGCCCTAATTCCCCCACCTTGGGGAAACATTCAAGAGATGAGAGCATGGGCAAACCAAGCAGCTCTGGAGAAGAGGATCTAGTAAAACAAAACAGTTCTGACAGATACCTTTGGATTCCAAAAACATTGAGGATTGATAACCCAGGAGAAGCTGCAAAGAGCTCTATATGGACGACTTTGGGAATTAAGAATGATAAGGCTGATCAAATTGGTAGTGGAGGACTCTTCCAAGCCTTCCAATCAAAGGGTGATGAAAGGAAGTCGGTTCCTGAACCATCTCCTGTCTTACAAGCAAATCCAGCAGCATTGTCTCGGTCAATCAACTTCCATGAAAACTCATAATTCTGTAGGTTATGACTTTTAATAGATTCTTGCCCTTTGCAGTGCATGGCAACTTAGTAGATCACGAAGCAGGGCGGAGTAGGATAGGAAGAAGATTTCCTGCAACATCCTAGCGCTAGCATGGTAGATTGCTTAGTTGAAGGAAAAACTGATTTTTATCCCTATTTTTGTTTCCCTTTTTCTGAATGGTGTTTGAGTAGGTACTTTTTGTTTTCAGTTAGATGGTTTGCGAGTTCATGTATGTAAGTGTTTATGAAGAAAGGTGAGAAGTAGTGGAGTGACTTTCTGTACCATAATCCCAGTTGTAATTGAATAAATTGGGAACCAGAGTCAATCTTCGTATTGTTTTCCATCCTTTTTAGAGTGTCCTTAAATTGCCTGGGCAAGCAGTATGATCTTCGATGAATGGAGATTTAGATTCACTGATTCTCAGTTTTGATATCGAAATTCTGTATCAACTGCCTCGTAGCTTTAACTCTGTTGTTAGAAAAACAATGTGGACGTTCGGCACAACATGCATCAATATCAGAAGATATGATTTAAGGCTGTTCTTTTTCTGTAAAGAGATCCAAGAACACAGTTAAATCCGAATTGAATGAAGCCAGGGGGCTGAAGGAGTAAATATCATCTCCTATTGATGAATAATAGATATTGATTGAACAGCAAGGGATATGCATATTTAAATGGCTGAAAAGCTGTTGTAGGCCCTTCCCTTTGGAGATAGACTTGAATTCTTATCAGGAAAAAGGCCAAGCACCTTTCTCTATCAACTCCACAGAATCCAAACAACTAGCACCAGACGAGAGGATGAAAAGTTGATAATCAAAGTTCATATATCTTTTCTTTTCTCTTTTTTCTTTTGTCTTTTCCTCTGTAGTGAAGAATAGAATACTCAGTTCAAAGAGGAAGATGAAATACAATTATACCATATATGCCAATATGTGTAACCTTTGTTCCACAAGAATAATAATGAAGACACTTTACATCGTGCAAAATTGCTTGACTTGTGTCATCTACTTAACGAACAGATCTTGGTAAAATATGTTGCTGCTGGAAAAGGACTACATCCTGCAGTAAGAAACAAACAGATATTTCAGCAATTATTTACAAAGTTGAGCTACCATTGCTGTGAACCATACGAGCTGGTTATGGGACCCAATTCATGTGAAGATGCCTTTGCTTCTCCCTCCTGTATAAATCTTCTGTTTCTTTGCCTCTTTCATACACCAGGTAAATTGCCCTACTACTTTTTTTGTTTTGACTCTCTGTTCTTGTCATGTTTGAACCAGATTTCTAAAGTAGCTTTAATGTCTACCAGTAGATCTCTCTGAAATCTGCGTATCTGATTGAGACTACTGGTGAAATTAACTCTTGTAAATCATGTGGCTCTCCTTCTATTTCCCACTAATGATGCATGTGGGGCAAGAAGCAGCGACATTTTACGGGGAGCTCTATTAAGTCCTGATTAAGAGTTTAGACATTGCATACTTCACCAACAGGAAAAATTGATATGGCACTCATGAGTCAAGACTAGAATGAATGAATGATAAAGAGCAGACACAAATCATGGCCACTAGCACTTCCTTTCTCCTTTTGATATGAACGCGTAAACAATAATTTTATAAATCTGAGTATTCTTCGTATTCTCTAATAATAAAATTTGTAGTTGTTTGTCGACAAAAAAAGGAAAAACATGGCCACTTGCCATGATATTATTGATTAACATATGATTAATTAATTCTACCCACATATATATAAACAACCAATCCTGTGCTCCTAATTGCTCAAGGAATCAAGTTCATCCCAGTCTTTGTTGAGTGTGCCTATGTTCATGTGACAAGCATTTAGGGACTTTCTCGAGGGTAACAAGGACACCGGCATCAATATTTTTTTAAGTCACAGAAATCTTAACAAATGCCAATTTATAACTCAAATGTATACAGAGGCTTAAAGAAATGAAGGATTAGTCAACCGTTAATCCAGCCTCCCTCCAGCACCTCCACCCCATTAAAAATAGCAGCGTACTTTAAATTATGATAATTAAAAGTACGACTCAATTGGAGTAAGTTCTAGAACTCAAAAAAAAAAAAGTCACAGAAAAGAGAAAAAGTGGGCCGCTGTAAGACACAGATTTTCCTCACCTTAACATCATCGAAAATGGTTTCAATTTTCAAAAGGAAATAAGGGCTATGCTTATGCCATGGCTAAATTCGTTAAGTTATTAAAAATTATTAGATTTTTATTTTAATTTAGTTACTATTAAAAACACTTAATAATTAATAAAATAACTAATATTTATTATTTAATAAAATAAAATTAATTTATAAATAAATATTTTTAAACATTATAATTATTTATTTATTAAAAAATTATAAATTAATAAAATTACAATTAGATTAATAATCTTAACAAAAATTATAGTGACAATAATTCCGGCAACTAAAGAAGGTGCTGTTTTCCAGCAGCAAAACAAACAGCCGTTTCGATTCTAGTTCAGGTGGAGTGTAAATGGGATCTGGAAGACGTGCAGCATTTGCTCGGTTGCGCGTTCTTATCTCTACCTCGCTAGATACTGCGCCTAATAATACGCCTTAAAGTCCTTCATTGGATCTGAAGCTAAACCGGTTTCTAAGAAAAAACCTCCCTACACAATAACAAAATCCGTTATCTTGTCACCGTCTTTATAAATTCTGAGAGGCACCCACTTCCCTGAATCATCTAAGAAAAAATGGGTAAAATTCGGTTTCTCAAATCTCTTTTTGTTTCGGTGCTTTTGCTTCTTTCTTTCTCTCGAGGTAGTGCAGTTTTCTGTCCACGTTTTGGGTTTCCTAGCGAAAATTAACTGGCCCTATTCTTACACTTTTGTTTTGTGGTTTTGATTTTTAAAGGATTTGATCGGAAAGTGATGGAGACTGTAGAATATCAGGCAACTACTCAAATGCAGGCTAGTCAGTCTTCTTTTTCTTTTTCCATATTCAAGGCACCCCCAACAGCATTGATGTTATATCATGGTAATAGTAATCTTGTTTGGTTTGCAGGAAATTGGAGTAATACCAAGGACAATGATTGAAGTGATGGACTATAAAGATCCAGAGCCAAACACTAACACCCAAACAGGGTACATATTCGCCCCTCCCTCGTAAAGCTAATTGAGCTTTGTTAGCAATCCAAACTCAAAATAGGGTGCTGTTATTGTTTTCTTTTTCTTTGTTTCTCTAGTCACTCAAGTGTCTCACCTTAATTTGAAGCTCCTTTGAATAAGAAAATGGATTTGATGTTAAGGCTTAATTATCTTAGTGTTCTTTGTTTGTTTAACTGTAGTTTTCTTAAACATCAAAAGAAAAGAAACTGCAATTTCCTTTTGAGTGGCAAATTAAGCTGCAATCTGTGAATTATATGTTGGATGATATGACTCATGTTTTAATTTTGAGAAGTTTTTTGTGTTTACTTCAGAGTTCAAAGTACACAATATCTCTTCCTTCGCTCAAAATTTCAAATTTAATTTGATAAATGAATCATAATTTCATAAACTCAAGGTAAGCTGGTTAAGGAAAGCTCAGGTAGCATTGTAGTTTGTACTTTGTAGATGTAGACTAAACAAAGGACGGAGTTCATCTCTTTTATCCTCTTTACTTATACATTACACTTCCGCTAAGTCTAACGAGGCTCATGGTAGCACAGCCCTAACAATAAATAAACCAAAAAAAGTATTTTTTAGGTCCAGGTTATAGTTTAAACAGTTTAATTATTAAAATATTTTTAATATATTTTTATATTAACTTATTTATTAATAATAATTTCATAGAAAGCATTCTTATGACTTGATGACTAACTCTTTCTTATAAAGGACTTCTCATGTTAAATTAGAGATGAAGGATTCGAATTTCATCTCTAACATTCAAAAAATAACAATAATAATTTCATAATTTAATATTCAAATGCATTTTAATATATAATCCAAACACTATTAAAATGCATGATATCACTAATAATAAATCTCTTTGGAAATTAAAGGAATAAAGTTAGTAAAAAACCTTTTTAATTTAAAACATGTCGATAAAATACCCATTGGTGTAAGTCTCCTTGGTAATTTATTCATCAACGTGATTTAAATTCATATCGATGAACTACTCAAACTTATCAACAAAGAGCATGTCTCAAACTATTTGACTAGAAAAGTACAATTAGTTGACTTTTTTATTGACAAAACTAATGTTTGTAACGTATATACTTAATATTATTTTTGAGAAATTTATCAACAAAACTTTTATGGCATTCTTTCTGGACTAAGAAAAACAAAAGGTTGCAATATCACTATTTTACCGACTTACATGGAGTTGGTAATGAAAAAAAGATCATTGTTAATCACCAACGAAGACTACATTGGTACAACCATTTTTTTTGTAAAAAAATTAAAGTTTCTTAAATTAATATTGAAATTTTCTGTATTTAATTCATTTTATTTATTGTCAAATGTTACTTAATTTATAACTCTTAATTAATATTTAAAAAGTTAAATATAATATTAAAATCTTACAATAAAAAAAAGGAAATTATTGAATCTATTTGTTGAAACTAATAATTAAAATATAATTTAAAAAATAAGAATAATAAAAAATATA